GATAACTACATCTTGAATATTGGAGGTTCGAAGTAAAAAAATTTAAAAAAAGTTGTACTAAAAAAAACTTTCTCGCATTAATAACGGTTGCGTAATATTAAAATACTGCGATTTCTGTCCGTACTAACAAAACGTACTGACTTCGTCAGAGGCGCTGCAGTATTAGCACTGTTCAAATCAGGTCAGGATTTTCAACATTAGGTTGTTAGCGACATGTTAAAAAAGTAGCTGCCGGCTCGACTTCAGCCGTTGTCTGGAGGAGAAAGCTAGCGGCCGTCTGCTCTGATCGGTATTTATCCGTGGTTTCTCCGACCAATTCCAGGCGAATGCGGGAGCAGTACCCTGACGAACAGGCCACGGTCCGCATGTGATCATTCTTTCCTCTTTTTTTTTTTTCTTCACCCATCCATTACACTCACGCGCGAGCACACACACACACACACACACACACACACACACACACACACACACACACACATGCACTACACTTCCTGACATGTCGGGAGCTTGGAGCTTGTCCCGATTGGGGCATATCGTATAGTAATTAAGGAAATAGGATGAAGTGAACATTGGGAGTTATTCCGTGCCTATTTAATTGCTGCGCTGTAAAGAATTCTACTAGTCGTTCATGGGGATGATACAAGTGGTCCTGAAAGGTTTGACCATCAGTAGCCGAAGATGATAAAAAGCATGGCTTTGAATGAGGTATGAGTGTAGAAAAGCATGTTAAATTTCAATTTATAGCCTTCGTTGAGTTTCAGATAAAATTCTCACGGACATTGATAGAGATACAGAGATAGGAGTAAGGAGACGAACTTTGGAGCTCTGCAAGGCAGCTGTAATTCAACTCAAAAGCTTATCTTATGTGCAGTAAAACAATACTTTACACTGAATAAATCTGCTCTAAATATGCTTTATGTTTAGGACTTTTGTGGGGAAACTTTACACTCTACTACGTGTCACCTCTTATGTGTGCTTGCCCGACTGAAGTGACTCAAGGCAACAACTGTTGACACTGACGCGTTTCTGACAGAGGTTTTAAGGTTCTATTCCCGACGGTGGTGGATTTTTGACTCTAGAGAGCCGAATCTAATTCAGCCGCAGTCTGGTAGGAAATTCTAGAAGCTGGCTGCTACTATAGTTTTTCATGGTTCCTCCCATCAATACGAGGCCAATGTCGGGACAGTACCCTAACAACCGTGCATCCTCTTCGCGTGCCTTCGAGACACACAAACGCACAAAGAATTACATGTACTACACTATGTCGGGAAACCAGTCGGGAACTTAGAGCTTTACCGGGCTGGGGCAGTGCCTCGCCAGAAGGAATTTTCCCTGAAGCCGATTTATGGGTCGGCGCCGGATCATACATTTTAGTGAGGGAAGAACACTGGCACTACTGGGATGTGCTTGCCCGACACTCGGGCCTAATGGCGATAGCAAAAACGAAATAATGCAAGAAACTTACCATGTGGTGCCACAACAGCACACACTTTCTAGCATTATTTGTCGCTTTGTTTTCAAAAATTCAGAGTGAAAAATGAACATGCGCCATTTTTATAAGCATACTGTGTACACATTGGAACCGCTTTTGATATTAAAAAAATGCCTTAATGTCAAAATTTTGCGCGAAAATTACGCATTTACGAAACATTGTTCATTATGTTATTTAAATATCCAATCATTTCGAACAAATTTCATTAAGGAAAAAATCCCTATCAACAATATTGTAGTTTTGAAATGTTTTTATAATTTTCGAAAATCGTTCACGTAGCCTGAGCCATTTTTAAATACGCACATTATTCGAGAACCAAAATTAAGAAAAGAAATTGGGGAAGTTTGCGGGAAAATAAATTGTCTTTACTTCAGGTAAAAATTACGGGAAAATTACTCGTATTTGTAAAGAAATGTACATTATTTATTTACAACATTTGTTTATTTACTTATTTAAAGATCGATTTAAAAAAAATACAGAAGAGTAATCTTTGTGATCAATATCCTAGTTTTGTAGTGTTAATTTTTTCCAAGTTTTAAAAGTACAGATTGTTCATCGAAAGGAAGCGTTTATATGAAAACAATTAAGTATTTCCCATATCTTACGAAAAATCCTTACATTTTCGAAAAATTGTTCATTATGTTATTTAATGATTTGTCTTTCAACATATTTCATTAAGGAAAACAATCTCTATATAAAATATGGTAGTTGTAGGAAGACGCCAAAATAAATTTTGAACTTTTGCCTTTTACTCGGAATTTAACCAAAAGTGAAACGCGAGTCGTTTTTTTAAACTTCTTGGCTCTATATCCGAGGAAAAAATTTAATTAAAAAATTGGAGCGATTTTGAAGAAAATATAAAGGCTTCATGTGAAATACCTCAAAAATTAAAATATTCATTTCAATCTCGCAGGGTCTGCAGTTCGATCGTATTGATAGGGGAATATCAATTTTGGAGAAACTCGTCTGGTCCGTTTAGGCGCTAATGTTGGACATAATCGAGCGATAATGTTGCCGTCAACCAATTGTTCGGTATGAAGGACCAGAAAACTTGGATTCTGATTACACAGCGTGTTAGAAAAAGTTTTTTACTTGCATGTAGGAACAAGATTTATTGAGTTTATGTATCAGAGCCTCACAATACGAGTTTTTCTTTCGAAAAAATCGCCGATTTTTGCCGGACAATCACAATCCCTCCATGAACCTGCAAATGTTTCAAACCAGCAGTTTGTTCCTCCGCGCCGAGATTAGAACTCTGTGAACGCTGTGAATGGAGCTAACTCTTCATGCGCTTTACCTACATCGCGGTCTCGCTCGGGGATACTCGCTTTCCCGGCGCTAACATCTAAAGGTCCCTCTCTGATTTCTAACTAATGCAGTTTACGAAAATTCAGAGTTTTCAAAGAAAATGATCAACTTTTCAAGCATTCTTTGCTCCATCCGTGGAAAAAAAATTGAATGAAATAGTTTGGAGCCGGTTTTGAGGAAATGTTTATATAAATTGCATGAACGTTAAGTGGAAAATATGCGAAAATATTTTCAAAAATTGTACATGACCTTATTTAAAGATCTGATTTTGTAGAACATACTTCAGTTAAGACAAAAATCTTTTTTCTTAGGTATTGTACTTTTGTGATGCTACTTTTTCAATTTTAGAAGATGCAGATTGTTCACAAAAAGTGGTGCTAGCACCTCTCTCTGTAGCGTTCTTTGATACATATGCAGAATTATGATGCATATGCAGATCGCAGAATTGCCAAAGGCAACTTAGCTACTCGTACGGAAACATAAAGAAGCGATGAATGAAAGTCTGCTTGATGACGACAACAACAGTGTAGTTGCTCGTAGAAATGCATAAAGAAGAATGAGTGAAAATCTGCTTTTAGGAAACAGCAGAGCTTTTAGGAAAGCGGCGTAGTTACTTACGGAACTATCGGGAAGAGTGAGCCGGGTTGGGGGTGTCGCCTATTTGTGCGCAGGCAGAGATTTTGGCGTCGTTACTGTGTCTGGGACGTGGAGGAAGTGCTTTTGGGGGTAGCGATTACGGCGCCCTCCGACGAAAGCGCGGGCGGCCCGCCGGCGATAGGGGAACAGGGCCAGCCCCTGAAGGCGGAAGTGGCGAGGACGTTTGTGACGTGTACGGAAGAGTTGTATTGCATTCAAAAATGTTGATTGCGACTTGTGCTGCGTCTCAAATTCTGCAAAAAATTGATTTTGACCTTTGTCGACCACGGGATTTGAAGCAGCTCGCTAGGATCTAAACAAAAATTAGAGGTGAGTTTGACAAAGCCAAATTAAATGCAACAGGAATGTTACAACTTGGAGCGTAACAGTCGGGGTTTGCGAGAAACTTGTGAAAAAAAAACTAAACGAAATTTCGATTAACTGTGCGAAGATCATTTATCTGTCGGCGACAAACGATTCATAGTTAATGTTCGCTTCACTTGTATAGATATAGTGATTAGTCAGCTGAGCTATCGAATCAAATATTCGATTCGTTTGGAATAATTCAGACTCATATGGGGAAAACCTTGCCAGAACTTTGTTGCAGCTTTCAGACGAAGTTGCGAATCAATGCAAAAAATGAAGCGAGAAATACTGTGACGAAGTAACTGTTCACCCAGCTATTATCCTTGCATCGTTCTTTAAGAGATCGAATTTTGAAGATTCATTCAATCGGATAATTGGCGGACTTCGTCCTGATCGAGTACTTCACTTATTCAGCTTGCTCCAGTCGTGTGATCAGAAATGTTACTGTTTTTGACGATTCCCGTGACGGTTGCGACTTCACAGAGATCGTTTTCAAAATTGAAAATTCTTAACAATTATCTCCAAAATTCGATGAGACTGTAACGACTGGCAGACCCTAGCCTAGATAGAGAGTGAAGTAATGAGCTCATCAAAAACGATCACGGGCGACGTTGTAGATAAGTTCATGAAAGCGAAAGACCGTAGGGCTCGATTCTGAATTTTGTGATTGATCATGATAAATAAAATTCCTTTCAATTAGTTTTCAGCATGCTTTTTTAGTTGGAAAAAATTAGGGGGGGGCAAAATTAGTATTTGAACTGGAGTTCTGGAAAGGCTAGTTCGCCACTGTTTCAAGATCTATATTTAGAAAACAAATTTCATTCAGATTTCATCTCTATTTTAAATACTGCAGTTGTATTCTAGGCACATTTTCATTGGGTAGGCATGAAGTTTCTGTGGGTCGATATGAAATTGAGAGGCCAGAATATGCTACAAAGACTTTATATTTGAACATTACCCTTCTCCATTGCATTTGCTTGTCTAACATTTGAAATACGTTTTTGAAACCGATATGTTAGTGATGTTTACTTCATTTATCTTACCTTTAAAGATCTTTGGTAAGCTAATATTTACAAATGTGCAAGGAATTTTAAGCCTGATTATGAGAACAATGTTTGGGTTTGTTTTCTGGCTGTTCATTTCAGTTATTCCCACGATTACAATATCCGTCCATCTTATTATGTACTCATCTTTGCAGGACTCGTTGCGGCGGATCCAAGACTTGAAGCCAGTCCGAGTGATATAAGAATTGAAGTCGGGGATTCAACTACCTTCCGTATAACGGCGAGGTTAGTGACTATTTAATACTGATAGCAAACTTGTGAAAGCAAATTTTTACACTGAATATTAAAACCTGCAGATCAAATTTCTTGCAGCAAATTGTGTATCATATCAAAAAGTAAGGATGTTCAGCAAGAAAATGTGCAGGGTTTTCTTATTTTTAGTGTTTAGATATATCTTGTCATAAAAATGTAACTTTGTTATTCGTAGCGACAAAAAATTGTAAGTATTGTCAGTGATGTAATAATTCTTTTATTATTTTTAGGGATTTGACAGAAGCCACAAAAGTCGACCTATACGTAGATATAGAAAACTTGATTCGTATTGACAACAATATAAATTTTATTATATCCAATGAAGAAACTGTGGAAATTCGCGTGACTGGCGAAGATGTCGGACATGTAATAATTTCTGCAAATAGCAGCGACCCATCTGTCAGGTAATTATTTTTTCCAAAATAAGATTTTATCATCCAGTTTTTAAAAGTTTGGTGGCAAAGTCCCAAGATGACCAGCATCATACAGGACATAGAACTCCGCTGTTCATACTTGGACAGATTGTTTTCAATACCTTGTTAATACCTTTCATTCATCCCAAAAGTGGTCATTGGAATATGTCCAATTTAATTTGCAGTTTTTTAGTTTCTTGCCTAGATCTGCGCATTGGATTATTTTGTCTTTTGGTTTATTTGCTTGTTTCTTGCAAATTACGCGCTCAAAATTAAAAGTGGTGTTTGCATGTCAGCATGAGAGTGGCGAACCGTAGTCAACTGTAATGTTCACGTTGTTCATTGTTAGATTAGTATGTTAGCATCAAACGTCTGTTGCACGTTAGAAGTGGTCGTTTCTGGCTGGTTGGCCGGCCGGTAAAATGGTAGTGCCAGTATTGACAGTATTACAACCTACTGGGAGATTCTAGGGTTCGGGTCCCCATGGAGGATTTTTGACACTTGATACATTAGGAGGTCGAATTCAGCCATGTCCTTGGGCACCGTCTAGCGTCCGGGAACTTTGATAGTTTTTTGTGGTTTCTTGGGATACCAGGTGAACGCCGGCTGTAGACTCTAATATACGGACCATATACCACACGTGATCTTCTTTTCCTCATTGTCTCCTCGTCTGCCTTTACACACTCACCCCGCGCGCGCACGTACACACACACACACACACACACTATATATATAATGTATGTACTACACTTCTACGCAGAGCTTGTCGTGGCTGGCGCGGCGCCCTGCTTGGAGAGAAGCCTAGCCGGGAAAAAAACTGCTAATGTCGTGATAGAGGGCGGCGGATCTCTTGTTTCTGCGAAGAAAGAACACCTCCACCTACCTGGTCCCGACATGCCCCACACCTACAGGACTCATGGTCATTGTAGTTGCTCCCGGAAACGCTAGCTCGCCCTTCTTCATAATGCGTTTTAACCCGGAACGCTTCGCATCTCGTGAACTTCATGCGGCAGATAGGTGGAAAGCAAACGTAACGGTCTTAAATGCGAAATTTCTTTATAAAAATAGTGTGTAGAGTTCGTCTACTGCTCACCGCAAGTACCACTGCTACCGCCACCACTGTCAGTATCGCTACGTCTGCCATCAGTGTCTCCACTACAGCTGCCGTCACCATCACTACTTCCACCACCGCATCTGCCATCATGATCACCACCACAAATGTGTAGTTTTGTTCCCCGATTATGATAATTTGCACGATTTTTACTTTCCATTTTCTTTACGGAGCAGTATTTTTCAGTTTACAGAAATCTCGTTGTAGTTTCAGCGTAAGAATGTGTATAGCCACTTAGTTGAAGGCGACCAATTCGCGAGTGTGACTTAGAATTAATTTTGTATTCGTTTCTTAGATCCGTTTTTGTACGCTCTTGTATAACATATTGTAGTAATGATAGAAATTATGTGGATCTTTTAAGTGTTCTTGTTTCAATTCTTTCCAGGAGAATCCACCAAAATTACTTACCTTTTCGAAGATTAAAAATTCGAAGATTCGAAGATGTCAGTTGCACTTGACATCTTGGTAAATCATTGCCCAGTTCCTCTTGTGAAGTTAAAAACATTTATTGATGTATATCTTTGTATTCTCTTTCTTTTTTCCAGAGTGGAAGATGCGTTTGTACGAATTACTATTCAGCACAGTAAAGCTGTGTACATTACTAGTATTGTTGTTGGCTGGGTATATTTTGCGGCATGGTCCGTTTCATTCTACCCACAAATATACGAGAACTGGAAGCGGAAAAGGTAAGTTAATTGGATTTATTTTGTATGACTATCTCAACGCACTTGTAGTAAATTTTAAGATATTTACTCATTCATTCTGGAAATTGAGTTTTACGTATTGGATATTTCCATTTGTTAGAATTTTGGTTTGCACCGCTTACCTTACATTGCAAAAATAGGTCTTTCACTCAATATTTTTAATTTGCAAAAATTACCGCTACTTTAAGAAACTTTCTGAATGGTCGGGATTATTAATGTACGTATGGTCATGAATTAATAATGGAACTTGTTCGTTGAAGTACTGAAGTTCTTGCCTTTCCCTTGCAAAATTTCTCTATTTTTGACGTTAAAAGTGCATAAATGATAATTAGATGCTAATTAGTTCTAAGTTTCTGTTGGAAATATTTTTATTATTATATTCAATATTAATTTAGTAACGTGCATTCATATTTGGAATTCTGGAGGTTTAAGAAGTGTTAATCATTCTATTGAATAACCAGAAGTCGACGAACCTGTTTCTTGATACAAGAGTGAAAAGAGTATGGATGCTAAATCTAAACGAAGCTGTATATGGCGGACGCGTGGCGTGAATTGCCTATCAACGTTTTTTTCATAATTCGTAGTACTTCGAGAGAAGGATACTTGGTATTTGGTGATGCGATCCCTACACTTTCTGTGGCAAATTGTTTACCTAAATGAATTGTAACCGCCCCTCCAGATGTTATGCCAACTTACCTTACCTTAGGAAACTCCATAAATTAAGTGGCAACTTATGGGGGGCTCCCTCGAAGAGCTCTCATATTTCTTAAGTCCACCTTTGCCCTTCTGTACCAACAAAGCAGAATCAGACGAGGCATTTGCCTCATTTTACGAAATAGTTAAAAGATCCACGACTAAACAGTTGGCCATTTGAAAAAATAGTTAAGTCGGCGTGCTTTAGCTATAGTTAACAGAGCGTAGATAAGCGAATTACGTAACTATGCTCCATGAAGTCGTGCAAGTTAACCAAACCGAAACACCACGGATTCCTGGACGAGTGGCAGTCTGGAAACCCGCGTTACTAACGCCGCCGAGCCCCTGATCTGCCCTGACGGAAGGGATGAAAGACATTCCGACGTGACGAGACTAAAAGACAAAACCTTAACGAAAGATTACTTTAGATTTATACACGCTCAATGCCAAGAAGGGCTAAAAGACGTGTCGTGAAAAGGACGCAACACCATTTTATAAATTCCATGTGTAATGCATTGTATCCTGCTTCAAAAACAGTTCATGAAAATTGTGCTACCCGAAATTCAATCAAAGCGAGTGGCAATAATTCTCTAACAAGAATATAGATTATCATATCTGAAACAAACTCTCAGTAGTCTCTCTCGTAAAATTCACGAAACACTAGAACAATTAATATTAGAGAAATTCCAATTAACCTTTCTTGTAGAAAAAAAGTCTCCTAACCTATAGACGTTATGTATTTTACAGAACTTCGAGAACAATTCCACCGTTATCGCATTTCGGTATTACTACTACTACTACTACTACTCTTTCTTCATTTTAATACCATATACTACGTAGGCTAGTCTCCAGAAGCCCGTAGCGTCTTTTGCCATTGCGTAGTTTGCCATTGCTTTCTCTAGGGGCGCTAGTGCGCCAATTTTGGCATTTGATTTGAATGCCAAGTAGCGCAGGCAATCTTCTCCAGTAATTCAAATAGAAACTTGGTGCTAAATTGCTAGAGGATTTAATTTTGCCAGGATCGACCAAGTGCCTTTCCTGGCATCTGTTTCACATGCCGAGAAGCGTCCACGTGCATGCGGTCGATTTTTGGCACCTCAAAAATCCCCCGAATTTGACCGGGCTTGAACCCGCGAACTTGGTATCAGAAGACCGGCATGATAACCACTATACCAGAAGTCGGTCTACTACACATGAAAAAATGAATTTGCTGGCTATTTTACGAATAATTTGAAACCAAACCTAATTTCAGACTTGTCCTTCAAAAACACAGTAACAAATTTTCGTAATAGCTCGTTTCTTTGTTCTCCCGTACCAATAAACTATACTCTCCACCTAAAGAGATTAAGAGCACGTACTTTCTCGCATTATTGGGGACGGATATGTAATATTATAATTGCAATTTATATCCTAACACTTAAGCCAACATTTGAAAAAGCCCAAAGTAATTCAAACAAAGCACTACGGAACGAATCTACATTTATTTTGACAGTCAGCAACAGTAGACATCTCTTATATACAAACATGTATAATTAACAACTGTATTCCCAGCACATTATACATATATAATTTCACACCATCTTAATTCCATGAAAGTGAACCCGTTTAGGTCCGTCGGCCCACGTCCTGACGGGGGGAATGCAGGGAGGGCTCTAAAGTGTTCCTTTCTTTCACCAGTCATCTTTATGTTCCTCATTGGTTATTCTCATTCTTTGATAAAATCCTGTTTCTTTTCTTCTACCCGTTCTATTTCCTTGCCCCCTGTATGCTGAATGCCCACCCATGTGTTTGTCGTGCATGGCGGCCCGTGTCGGAAGAGATGTGTGTGATGGCAGTTGAGGGACCTGTCTTGTTTCCTAACTACTTCTTGTGCTATTTTCTACTTTGCACTTAGGGATATGTTGTTTCCGTATTTGTGGGAACATTTCTTGTAGGTTTCCAACACAGTTGGTTTGGCCTCACTCTTCTAGACGGGCAGTTGGGAGCTAACCTACCCCCGATTAATCGGCTCGGACTAAGTTTGTTCTGGACTTCAGGGATAGCCAGGGGATCCTCGGCGGGACAGCGCTGCCCCCCAACTACATCTCCGTGGCACTCCGACGAAGTGTTCCCTTGTTGGGCTCCGTTGTGGATGATGACCAGAGGGTAGAATCTTATATCCAGCTCCATGGATACTACCACTTTCCCCGCTCTTTTCCGCAAGGAAGAGGTAACGAACTATTGATTTAAATTTTTTTTGCAAAAGATGACAAACCGAAAAGTGTCGTTTCCTACTCATGGCATGCGCCGAGAAAAAAAAGTTTAAAAAGTGTTACCACAGAGGAAGCATACGGGAAGCTCGAACCTGTTGTGCGACAGAGAAATGAACAAATCTCTTTGAAGCCCGTACGGACGAGCAAATGGAGAAATTATTAAAAATAAAACTGATTACCAGCCTCCAGGTGGCAGTGACGACGTACGCAACTTAAACCAGTGCAAAGGCGTAGCGAAGCCCGAAGACTTTGCTTCCGAAACTGAAGAACTAATAACCTTTTTCAAGTCAGGGGGTTACCTGAAGTGTAGAGGATCAAAAAGAAAGACCAGGGGAAACTGATCCCTACTTCAACCCTGATCCTTACGTTTGACTGCCCGTCTCTCCCGGAAAGGATCAGTTGTGGTTTCTACAAGCTCTATGCGCGACAGTATGTACCAATTCCTTTGCGCTGTTTTGAGGTTGAAAGGTTTGTACATACCCAGCAACGATGTTTGTCCAGTGTGCAGAAAGTGCGGTGCATCTGTGGACGATCCATATCCGTGCGCTACACCACCGCACTGTGTAAATTGTTAAGGTGGCCATCCAGCAATTATAACCAGTGCCCTACGTTTCTCTGGGAATGAGAGATTCAGAAGATGAGAGTCACGGAAAAGATTTTTTTCCCTGAGGCAAAACGCCAGCACCTGGCTAGAAATCCAGTAGACCTATCACGATCATTCTCCAGTACTTTAAAGACAAAGTCCTCAGGGATAACAGCAAGTTTTCAAACAGCGTGCTCCTGCAATGTAATTCCATGTAATGCCTCTCTCGTGAAATCTAAATGGCTTTCGTGTACATTCAGAAGAATTGAGATTAATAATTTCTCGCCATAGCCCATCTATAGTCTTCCTTCAGATAACTCATCTTCTTCCCCATTATCCCCTCTGTCTTCTCAAGTTTTACATGCATAGGTTGATCAAGACGACGGATTCCGTACTCATGGTGGTGTCGCGGTACTTATCTGTGACTCCCTGTTCTCTGAGGAACAAAAGGTTCGGACCGACTTTCAAACTGTATGCGTTCGGATACACCTACCGTCCTTTTCTCTCAACGGTGGCAATGCATACATTCCTCCTGGCCAAGATGTTTCACAACAAGAACGTGATGTCTTTTCTCAGTTGCTCACCCCTTTTCTTATTGTCGGGGATTCAAATGCCCACAATCCCGCTTGGGGTGACACAAGAACCTGTTCGAGAGATAATATCTTGTGTGACGTCATGGATACTCACAGCGACCACAGACAGAGCTTTCATATAATAAATATATTTATTAACAAATATATACACTTAATTTCCTACTTATACCCTAGCTCTAATAGACCTACTATCCCCTGATTGCAGGAGCGATCCAAACCCGATTGAACATCGGTTTCGATTGTGGCATTCGCCACTCCTACTTCTGAAGCGCGCACAAAGCCTAGCTTCCGTGACCGGATGTCACGCTGGGACACAAAGTCCGCTCTGGCGCACCAACGGCTGGTTTGCCTCGATCGCAGGAGCGATCTTATCCGATTGAGAATCGGCGTGAATCGTGGCACTCAACCATTCTTCACCTCGGAGCACGCACACAGCATCGCTCCCCCGTGACCGCAGTCACCCAAGGACATAAAGCCCTCCGCAGGCTTCGTCAACTAGTGACTCGAGCCTCGCGAGCCTGGCTCGCATATGCACCGTCGTGGCGCCAAGTTTTGTGCACATGCACGAGGTTCTCCCACTGCCTCCAGAACCCACCCACTGGCTCTGTACACTGTTATATAGGCGAGGCCCTCGTGACCTATTACGTCACGCCACCGCCCCGCTTGTTATAACAGTGAAAGGTTTCTATAGGCCGGAAGACCTCAAAACCTTGTCTCCCGTTTCCGCGTTCTTGCCTTTACGGGAAAACCCTTCTCTCCTTCCTGTGGCGAGGCTAATCCTCTACCAAGCGTCCCCCAAATAGATGCCACGAGGCACGCTGGCTAGTACGTTACACTTGATAATATTGACAACCAGAACAT